CAGACGGGATCCTTGGGGAAACCCAAATAGCCGTGGGTGCGTTTTCTCCTGACCCAGGAGCTGGAGCCTGCAGGGGACAGTCGTCCCAGCGAGGCAAGACCGGAGGAGGACGGCACGTATCCAGCCTGTCCCCAGCGCAAAGTGCTGCGCGTAGGGGATGCCACGTGCCACCTCCGTTCTCCCCCCACGCCCAGATGTCCTGTGCGGTGCGTAGGTCCGTGGGGGGAGTGGGGAGCAGGCTGTGGGGTGCCGCGTCAGGCGCACTTGCCCTTGCGCAGGCAGAAGGGCAGCTCCGGCGCGGGGACCAGGATGGTGCTGAAGATGGGCCGGTAGCTCTCGGGGAGGGTCTGGGGGTGCTGCGCCATCATTTCCAGCACCACGTGCCGCACCTCCTTGGAGACGTCGCCCCGCAGATCCAGCAAGGTGGAGATGTGCTCGTCGCTGGGCAGAGAGCAAAGGGTGAGCCCGGGCGCTGATGGGCCATGGCACCGGCCCTGGCATCGCGTCCCACAACCCCCCGTGACCCAGAGAAGCTGAGCTGAGGCTCGGGTGGAGGTGGCTCTTTGCAGCAGCCACATGTGAAAATTCGCTTGAAAATAAACCCTCAAAACTGAAAATAACCCCTCAAAACTTGTGATTTTGGTTCTGGCGTTTCACGGGGTGTGGCCAATTCTGACGTTTGTGATTTCTCCCGCTTTGTTTGCCCACCGGGTACAGATGGGTGAGTGCCACGGCAGAGCTGCTTTTGTCTTTACATCTTTGCCCTCTGGGACTTTGCAAGAACCCCTCAAATCTGGAGCATGGGATGGGAAACCTCAGGCAGGAGGGGGAAGAAGCCCAGGTCTCTGCCTGCTCTGCAGCGTAACCTTGCGGGGCCCAGCCCAAGCAGGACACGTGCCCACCGCGTCTCGCGGGAGAGCAGAGCTCCCTACCTGGCGTCGGGGTACTTGGTGATGAAGCCCAGCACCTCCAGGCTGAGCAGCGCCGGGTCTTTGAGGCAGATCAGCTCCCGAAGGGCAAAGATGGCCTCCAGGCTCTGCTGGCTCCGGTCCAGACCCTGGGAGGGAGAGCACCCAGGGCGAGACCCGGGGGAGGCCGCCGCGGTGGCTGGTGAGATGCTGCCCGGTCCTCGGTGCCCACGCGGGGACCCGGCTGGTGTCTCCCCACCCGGCGTGTCCCCCTGATCGGTCCCGGCTCGCCCCAGGG